AACACCACCCAAAAGCGTTGTAGGATACTGTAGCTGACGCCTTTTCCAGCCTAGGGTTGGTTCCATCAAAATACTCAAATGTGCCATTTTTAATACAAATTGCGCCATCCCGTGTGACACACGAGCGCAATGTAATTTTTGCAAGAACGCTGTGCAAAGTAAAACTGACATCGAAAATTACCTTTAAGGGACATGAATAAATTTTCTTTTGTCATCATTGTCCCTTCTTGAAACTGACTATAAATGTGATGACTATAGACGTGATTCCGGTTATTGTAAACATTGTAGTGAAAGTGGATTCTCTTCTTATGTGGATGGAAAAATACGGATAATATATATTTAATCCTAGATATGACATAGGTGTATATTACATATATGAAGCATATATGAAGCACTTGGAAAGTTTAAAGATTACTTAAGCAAAGTTACAAGAAGATCACCCATCTCCTGAAACTCCATGCGGGAGCCTGTCAAATTTGCGGGTTCCAGCGCGAGTTAATAACGTTGAGAGTGGCTCAATTCTTGCTAAAAGTAGCGTAATTAGCCATGGAACAGCGTCGCCGCTTGCGATTGGCTCCAATACAAATCAGTCAAAAACAAACAGTTTTGGGTAATACGTATTTTAAAGTTTTTTTTTATTATTGCCAATTTTAATCTTATAAGTAACAGTATTATTGTGCTAAGCCTCATGTGCTGGAAAAGCCATATGGTTAAATTACAGAATTAGAATTAGATAGCCTGAAATTCATCCGATTGCCTCGAGTCGTTTTCTCCTCTCAACAAGGGAGGGAGTAATAACGACTCGAAGTAATTGGATGAAATTCAGGCTAAGAATTAGACTGTTACTTCCTTGGCGAGGCCTAATCAGGCATAAGCGGATTTTTGTCCTAATGGTACATATAGGAGCCGGTGACCAAGCTTCTAATCCCTAAAATGCATGTTTGTTACAGATAACATGTCCAAGTTTGCACGCAGTAGCAAAAATTGCGGAAAATTGGAGAAATCGCAGTTTTTGCTAAAATTAATTAAGTCAAGTGTTACAGGAGGTACAAGGGTGTCCAGCAAAAACTGCGATTTTTCCAAAAATTGCGAAAAATTGAAGAAATCGCAGTTTTTGCTAAAATCATAACAAGCCAGAGGGTCGATTTTAATGGGAAAGCGGTCCGTGCACACTTCGGCCAATCTAATTTTTCATTTTTCCAACAAAAACGGAAAAAGGAGATATTACTTAGGTCCGTGCACGTATCGGCCAATCTAATTTTCCATTTTTCCAACAAAAACGGAAAGAGGAAATATTACTTATCCTAATCATATTTGCATATTTCAAAGTACAGAAAAAAAGAGAAAAAAAGAAAATGGTCGGGAAAATTGATCATTTTTTCATTTTTCTAATTTTGAAGTTAAATTAAAAAATACAAAAAATACTGTTAACGGCTAAAAGCGATATTTTGCTATTTTTATTTTCTTGATATTGTTAGAAAAGCGAGAAAAATAAAATAATCTCCGAGTCCTAGATCATTTTTCTATTTTTCCGTTTTTTCCAAAAAATAGAAAAAAAGAAAAATGAAAAAAATGATATTTATTCGAACCATTTTTTCATTTTTTCCATTTTGTTCAAAAAATGAAAAAATAGAAAAATGGCATACCTATCGCCTAATTTTCCATAATTCCATTTTAACAAGAAAAATGAAAAAAATGGCAAGTGTTGCGAATAATTTTTCCATTTTTTCAATAAATAGAAAACAAACAAACAAACAAAAACGGATAATTTTTCATCTTTTGTTTTAATGAAAAATAGCAAAGAAAAATGACAAATCATCAACATTCACCAACAGAGAAAAGAAGAACCTAATCCACTTTAGACTCACTAGTTTTGTTAGACGATTTACACAGGGTCGGCGGAGACGTGGGATGGGAAGGGTGGGTGGGGGTGCTTGAGTTCTTGGAATGCGAAAGTAGTTTCATTCACGTTTGGATTTGATTATCTGATTCCTTTACCTCATTACGTAGGACTCACTCTGTGACCCGTTCTAACACTGCGTCACCATAAAGTGTTCCTGTTCCATTCAAACTGTAGAACGATTCCCCATACTTGTCGCAAGGGTTTCCCCGACATTAGCGATCTTTGCTGTCGTCATTTTCCAGGGCTGAGTTGCTTAAAAGGTGGATAACGCTATCCGCTGGATAAATAACTATCCAGTAGATAACGCAATTGGTTTCCATAAAATACATAAAAAATTATCAGGCCGTTGGATAGTGATTATCCGGGGATAGCCGCTACCCAACGTTTAATCAAATGTATGAGCAAATGTATGGGCCAGATCATTAAGATGTTCTCTCCCGCGAGTGTATACTAGCCGCCTCGTTATGTTTCTCCACCATAATATTAATTCAACATACTTTACTCTTGTCATCCTAAAATACCCGTTCTACAGCAAGATCCGTTATTTCGGCAGGCTAAGCAGTCTACTTTTGAGCATCTATTTCATTTAAAAGCGTCTGACCTCTTCACTGGCGTGCTCTTTATTTATTTGGTGCATGTGACTGTTCAACGACCTTCTTCTTAACTAACCGCTTTTTTTGTGCTGGGACCATACTGTTGCTGGTATGAAAACTGTTGAGTTGCCCCCCCTTTTCCGGTACCAATTTTCACGCCTTCTCCTCCCCCCTCGTATCCTTTCTAATATTCTTCATTTCCACGGCCGGTACGGTACGGTTTTCCCGCCGCTTTCATCCACAGTCGACTCCCGACAAATCAAACCTTCAAGGAAATCGAGATCAAAAGTGAATGGAACTACGTCCGCATCTCGAAAACTAAGCCCTCCCCCCAAATTCCCCCACATCTCCGCCGACCCTGGGTAAATCTTCTAACCAAATTAGCGAGTCTCCTCTTCACCATTAAAATATTCATAACTTCTCACTTTTCTGCTCCATTTTTCAATAACATAAAAAATGAAAAACTGTCTGAAAGGGTGTATCATTTTAAAGTTTTACTATTTATTAAATAAATGGAAAAATAGAAAATTGCTCGCAACACTTGTCATTTTTTCATTTTTCTTATCAAAATGGAATTATGGAAAATTGGGCGATAGGTATGCAAAATAGATAAATGAGTTAGGAATCGCGCATTATTTCATTTTTCTCGTTTTCTAACAATAGCAAGAAAATAAAAAATAGCAAAATATCTCTTTTAGCCGTTTACAACTTTTTTTTGTATTTTTGAAGCTGACTTCAAAATTAGAAAAATGATAAAATGATCAATTTTCCTGACCATTTTCTTTTTTTCTATTTTTGTTTGTACTTTAAAATATGTAAATATGTCAAGGATAAGTAATATTTCCTTTTTCCGTTTTTGTTGGAAAAATGGAAAATTAGATTGGCCGAAGTGTGCACGGACCTTTTCCGATCCGTCAATGACAACATTATTGCTCTTCAGATCGTTGTGCAAGAAACCTCTTTCATGGATGAACATCAATTAGTATTTCCCATGTTTGCTTTAAGATATTTGCGCACATGGCAACATCTTGAATAACCTTTTCCGAAGCGGCCTTAAAAAGCGTTACGCTTTCACTAAGCAAAGCGTGGAACTCCTGGTTGGGGGGGTACCGCCGTATGTGAGCTACTAATAGGTATGTGCCGCTGTAAAGGGTAATATAAATCAGAGCGTTTGGGTCTAGAATATTAATAGGGTATCATTTTTCAGGAAACTGATCAGTTGCTTGAAGATTTTATCTAGACTAGGGAACAGCTACTCTAGGATAGGGGGGACCTGGGGAGTTTACTCTAGTATAGGGTAGCAAAATTCAGCTTAAGTAGCTCTGGTATAGGTTAAGGGTTCCAGGGTCCCAGCGGCACATCCCCACCCAGAAATTCCTAGAGTAGCCTCCCACCCCCACTCGGGGTGGAATTGGAGAACCAGATAAAATGGTGCCCGATCTGTGGAAACGCCTAACAGAAGAGGGATTCCCCAGTGGTCTGCAATTCCAGTGATTGCCGATGCTTCTCGCCACACTTCCTCTCTTGTCTTCTTTGGGGATTCAATTATTTTCATTTCTTTAGCAACAACGCGGTATTCATTGCGGTATAGGGCGATGTAGCAGTTCCCGAAGGTTCCGTTTCCAATTTTTTGGCTTTTCTCCACTTTCAGCAAAGACCTATTGATCTCCTTAAACGCAAGAGCATCTACGTTCTTGCCGATGCGATTTGTTTCCGTGAAATTTTTGCGGCCAGCACGTATTTCTCTTCGGTATGACCTTTCCGTTTTAACTTCGAATGTGATAAATTGACCATGACCTTGCCTCTGGAAAAAGTATTTGCCTCTGGAGATAGTTTGTTGGCCTCGATCCGTTTCTTGTTTGCGGGTAGTGGTTCTGCAACCTTCTCACTTTCTGATTCGCGAACCTTTTCATTCTCCTCTCCCTCTTCTGGCATCTTCTGTAGTTGTGGTCCACGAGTCTTCTCATCATATTTCTCCTCTTGTGGCAACTCCTCTCTTTCTGGTACACGAAAGTTCTCATTCTTCAATCCTTCCTCCCATTTTCTTCTCTGCCATGCCTTATTTTGCTTTCTTTTCTCTCTTTTTGAATGCGCTCTTGAACGATACTTTCCATCCCTTACTCGGAATACTCGCTCTCCTTTTTTTCATAACTTCTCTACTGTTCCTCTCGCTCGTACGTTTGAGTCCATGTTTTCATTCACGGAAAAACACTTACGTTACGGAAGGTAGCACATTGTACGTGAGTATTGTCTCTAAACAGAATCCATTGTTTCAAGAACACCCGTACTTAACCCACATTGAAAAGTAAATTCCTTTTTCCTGTCCTCACACATTTCCCTCTTAAATGGTTAGGAGAATTTATTTTATATCAAGCGCTGTGTGATCACGTCCTTAATTCTCATAACCTATGTGACTGACAAGGAATGTTACTTGACAAATTTCTAGTTTGCTGCAGGAAAATCGACGGCGAGATGTTAACGAATCCGTTATAGCTGGCAACGACATGGATCTGCGCTTAACGTTTTCACAGAAATGTTGTTTATGCACTGGAAAGTTTAAAACTTTTAACGCAATTCAAAAGCACACGGAACGAAAACACACGGTGGAAGGTGATCTAGCCTTAATAATCAGGGGCACCCAACGAGAATATAGTTCAAAACCACTTAAACTTAGAATTGTTAAACGTATTTTAGTATTTAAACGGTAGATATAGGCATATTTTTATCCCCTGGAAATTTTTCATCTGTTCGGATTTCCTAGCTGAAAGTCAAGTGATCCGAAAATTATAGGGATCAAAACTTACCTTTTCGAAAATTTTAGCCAGAAAAAAGGCTCCCGAAAATTCTAGGTGACCTTTTTAGGGTAAAAATCCGTTAAAAATAGGCAATTATACCTTTTTTTAGATGTCCGAAAATCCTAGGAGAGGCAGGCAAGCAAGAAATTTTACAACAAATGTTCCGAAAATTCTAGATCTCAAATCGTCTTCCGAACAGATATTTTTCCGAAAATTGTCGTTGGGTGCCCCTGAATAATGTGGTGTTTTTGGACGAGGAGAACGAGGCTTCGGTGCCCGACATTGGATTTCTTAACAGGAGATCGCAAGATTTTAAAATAGGATATTTATCGTGGCTGGCAGGGCTTACGGAGCAGATAAACGCTTCCCTTAATCCTCGTTTACGTGGTAAGTGGCGAATTTAAACGGCACAAAGCCTAATACCACCTAAGTATTTTGCATCGCTTTTAATTTAGATCTACGCACTTGAATATTCCTCGTTAAAAGCCACCTAAGGTACTACCCAATCATCTTTTCAGTTGTCCCTCAAACTTTGCTATTTTCTTTAGCATTTAGTTTCTCAGTTTAGTAGCAAAGTACTTTGCGCGTCATTTAGCCGATTCTCTCACTGGCACGAGCGCACGTTACTCGAGTTTCGCTCGTCACACAATGTTCCCGGCTACGAGAGAAGAGCGTTGCGTGACGAAACAGAACGACTGTGTGCAAATGAATGAATAAAATCTTTATTTTACTTAGAATGTCAGATGATCTCAGAAAGCTTAAACTTACACTTCTCCTGTCAAAACAATGTGCTGAAGACCCAATTTAATTGTAGCTGGTTTTGTCTACTTTCATTTCTAGGTGGTTGGGTGACTTTACAATTCCCACAAGTTCCTGAAAGGTACTTTGGGCACTTAGCTTGTCAAATGGGATGCAGGGTGCGTAGCATGAGGCAGGTACCTCATAAGAAGCCTCCATTTTACTGCCCATAAACAAGGCGAGTTTCCTATAAAGTGTATAGCCTCACTTCATTTACGGATGCAAGGCATGAACAAACCCTCCTTAAACTAAATGATACGGCCTGGTACAGTGACCTACAGGAAGTGGAGAAAAGATCTGACCTTAGCCCTCAGGAGGAACTCCAGGCTACCAAGAACCATAGTTGTTGGAGCACTGACAGAAATGAGGAGTCGTCAGGGGATCTATTAACCAAACGTCTAACAGCCAAAGCAAGTTTGGGGGTGGGTCCAGGACAAGGAAGGACTACTAGGGAGGTAGAAGTAATCTGGTGGCCAGATCTATACTCCACCACAAGGAATGGAAAACTTTCAATAAGATTCTATATTAAAAGAAGTAACTGTTTGAAACTTCTTTTTATGAACAGTTTTTTTGCAGTCTATTCAATATTGATCAAACATTCAGGCAATGGCTTTAAAGTTGACTTCACTTCCCTGAAATATCTGGGAAGTTGTTTCTCTTCCATTTTCTACCTGCAAAGAGCAGTGTTAATTGTCAAACTTCCTTGTTTGACCTGTACAGTGCTTAATTTTGCTTTTTTATTTTTCTCTGCCTCTTTAATTTGAAATATAAGCTTGACATGGATATCATATTATTCACTAAAGTGTAAGTTGGAAAGAGCATAAAACACTAACCTTGGAAGACAATAGTATCTATGGGAAGGTGTAGTTATTGTTGAAAATATAGAACATCAATTTTTTCGACCAAAACAATGCAACTTCTTCACGCAACTTCAGTAAAACCACAAAAGCAAAGTTTACCTAATATGGACACTAACTAAACAGACATGCTATTTAAATCTACTAAATGATGTTTTTACCTGTTAAAGGAAATTGAAAAGCCTATATGAATTTTATTGTAGCAAGTTAATGTTAATGTTAGTTAACAAATCAGTAGCTGCTTTTACCAGCAAAAAATCAGTTTGTGCTCAACAACACAGCTTTGAAATCTGTTCAATCTTTGCTGAAAGTAGGGCATAAAGATTAAAATGATACAGTTTAATGACCACTTACTGGTCTATTCTGTGATTGGTCATTATCTTTTAATACATATGGTGGCTCCTAAAGGAGCCGTTTGTTTTTTGTCACCTGCAGTCAGTGCAGTGTCAAACTCCCTGGTTTGACCTGCAGGATTTTTTTTCATTCGGTTCTTCATTGGAATTTTAGCTGGACATCAATGCCACGTCTTTTGCCTGAAAACTTAAACAAGAGCAAACAACATTACTATTGAGACAATAACTTATGTGAAGGTGTTGTCCTTGGTAAAATTGAAAAGAATTTAGAATTTAATCTCATTCTTCCTATCATAAGCATCTTATTGAAAGCTTTGAAACATTTAATTTAGTGAAAACTCCGCAGTTTGGGCGTGCTGCCTGTAAACCTTAAGAGGGAGAGGAAACCCTTACAATAATATTGTCAACAGCATTTCCATTCTAATAACAAGTATCTTATTGAAAGATTTGAAAAAATTAATTCAGAACAATAATATTGTCCAAACCAGTTTCATTCACAGTTCAAGAACAGTATCGCATGGAAAATTCACTTAAAATAGGCAGACAATCTACAATGGTGATATTTATATCGATTACTTATTTCCGTTGTGTAAAACGATAAGAAGTCTCTGGCGATGACTCCCCATATCATAAAAACTCCAATGAAAGTACAAGTGAGGAATTCCATTGTCTGCAGGGTTGTCTATAAAATCAGACTGCCAAGGTCACACAAATGCCACAACTAGCTCAACCTTCTCCAAATAATGGCTGTTTGGGCATTCCAAACCGCAGAATTGGAAAGGTGATATTCCATTGGGTTTCTGATACAGCCTTCAGCAGATTGTCAGCCAATTCAATGATGTTGGTAGGAGGACTCTGTTTTAAGCCATCATCATAGAATGCTTGGTGCTGTGTTATATTTAGGCACAGGAGACCCCAGTGGTTGCCATTTACATGGATTGGAGTAAGGGTCCATACAACATCACCAGGATCCATTCTTGAAAGGTAGGGCTTCAACTTTGTTTGTAGAAATTGCACATTTCTGGTTAAAGCCCAGGTTTGTGTAAATGACAGTAGATACAAGGAATGGGAATTTTTTCACATGGTTTCCTCACTCTACCTCAAACATGCAGCATCAATCAAAAAGCTACTAATGTACCTCTCAGCAGCTAAGGTTGAAAGGTCTTCAGCATCAACCATCACATCACCAATTCTAAGGATTTCGTCTTGAGGTTCACTGTCAAAAAGCAAAGCCCTAATTTTATTAATCTGCTGAGGGGTTAATGTGGTACTTGTAGTTTTCATCCAATTTTCCTCTTCTTGGACTCTAAAAATAATGGAGGAAGCTTTTGATGCTTTCATCCAAATGTCTAGAGCTCTGCTGTCAAAGACCCCGAGATCTCCAAACTTGACTGCAGTGTCGAAATCCTCATCATCACTGTCTTCTCCAGCTGCCGCATCCATCAGTCAATAACCCTTAGTGATTGCTGATTCTGAGGGCCTGACTGGAGACTGCAGAGGATTGTTAATACACCCAGGATCAACAACCAGCTCGATGTCATCATCTGGAATTATTATTAATTGCAGGCGGAAGATTAAGGGTAGCAAGTTGGCCTCTGGAACAATCATTTGCAGCACAAATTCGTAGGTCAGGAATAAACAAAGATTCTTATGGTTGAGGAACAAAGGCAGTTTTAGTATCCACTGAGACACCGCACGAAGGGCTGCAACTGGAATTTGAAGGGTTAGTGGCGGGGCTTGATGAGAGGCTTGTGGAAGAGCTGCTGACTGGGCCAGTGTTGCTGGAAGCTGGGCTGCTAGCTGGAATGGATTGTGGACTTTGTGGCTGTTCCAGCAAGGAAGTAAAACTGGTCAAAACTGTAGGAAAGAGCTGCTCCCACAGTGCATGATCATATTGATAGATAGGTAAACAGTCAGGTGATATTACCACTTGTTTTAAACCTTTGTCAAATTCATAAGAAAGAGCATCCTTGCCAAACATTTTGTTGAACAAGTTATTCATGGTGAAAATCCAGGACATGTCAACTTTTGACCTTGACACTTCTTTTTTTCTGGACCAACCGCAGCCTCAAAAATGGAATGGTTTACCTGACATACAAAAAAAAACATTGGCATTGGCAAAATAAGGGAACCAGACACAGTTAAAACAACAAAAACAAAAAAAAAAAGATTTTAAGAGGCTGTGTTAATTAAGCTCTAAGCTTATACTGCAAGTTTTTATGTGGTTAGTTTTCTACTGCTCAAGAAGAAGAATGACAACATATTTATGTTATCTCACCCCATTCCAGGTAGAAAAAGATAAAGTGCACAGTAATGTTGTCACTGAATATAGTGTATGCTTTTTATGGGAATACACAACTCTCAGTTTTTTACATAACATTGTCTCAACAAGAGAGAATAGGTTTGACTACACATCTAAGGGACTGATATAAAAAGAAGTTCCATTATATAATGTTTCTAGCTGGCAAAAATTTTAGAAGATAATCACCATTATCCATGCTCTTTATAGCCATTCTGAGGCAAAGCCGCAAGAACAGCAACTTTTCAGAAAAGAAATGTTGCGAAATCTGTTGGACTTAATATAATGAAATAAAGTTGATTATTCAAAAGTGCCAACAACTTCAATACCAACAAGAACATGTGATTAAACTAGACTTTGCCTTTTTCCCCAATGGTTCTAGTTTTCGCACAATAAGATACATAATATTTAAGAACATGTACATGCAGTGTAGCTCCCAAAAACTGATATTTTACTAATATGGTATGCCTTGAACAATGACTTCAATACTACCGGTAACTGTAAATTGGCATTTAAAATTTCAATAAAGACCTTTAGCATCAGGTTTTTCATGCATGGGACACTGCAAACAGGTCTCAAATATGACAATGTCAAGTGGTCTTCTGGTCGCGTTTGCAGTTTGCAGTTCAAGTTTGAATGGTAGGAAAGGCTTACAGCAGTAGGTGACTTACAGCAATGTTTTTGCCACTAACAATAATATTATTGTTTAGCCTTACATTTAAAAGCCCGAAGCAGCTATCTACACCACCGTCTCTGATGTGCTAGTTAGAGCTGGTGATAAACAATGAATGTCTGCCTAAAGTTTAAAATCCAGGCAAAGTGAAACTGCAAATGGGTGACTGCAGACTGCAGTTTACAGTTTGCAGTATCCCATGAAAAACTTATGCTAAAGGTATTTTTAATACCTATGGATGTTCTCCAACAGGAAATTATTTTGCTTACAATGAAAGATCTTAAGATTAAAGGATATTCAAAACAAGATTTAAAGTTCAAGGATTTTCCATTGACTCAACTTAGATTCAAGAGCTTTTAAGAGGGTAGCTAAAATTCAAGAGCTTTTCATATCTTTATGAACTATGCATCATCTGTGGTATCACAAAACAATGTGAAAATGACATGATGAGCTTCCTAACCTTTCTATAAAAAGAGTTGTAAGTTTAGTTATAACAATATTTAAGTAGGTGACAATATTAGTTTCAAGTACTGTTGTGTTGAGATGTATGATAATATAAAAAAATAAAGTACTAAAAAAGGAAAATATAAAACTATCTTGATATAGCATGACCATGCCTGTCATGGGAAGTAGCCTTTGAATATAACTGATGCTGTAATGAGTGTGCTGCCTCAAAGCCTTGATTTGAATACTCCCTCAAGCTGAGGTGGTTTCTAAACAATGTTCAATGGTGATGTGGCCATAATCACCAGTGCCCAGGTTGCAGCCAAACACTTCCCTTAAAAGGAATCCCCATTGTTTGCACTAAAAGAAAAAAGAGGCATATTTCCATGGGTGTTAAACAGTTGTCAAAATCAACATTGAAGACTGTGCAGTAACTGACGGCAGGTCTAAAATACGAAGTAACTTTTCCACAGGTCAGAGTACAGTTCACCATGATACAGACAAATGAATAGTATCAAAAGTGTTCGCAAGCACTAAACTCTTAACAAAAATTAATGCTCTATTAGATAGAGGGGAATCTGTGTGGTTTGGCAATTCATGTATGGAGCATTGACATGTACTTCTTACCCGTGGAATGTGACCTGTACTTCATGAATATCTTAAACATTTAAGGAGAGATAAACATTTTACTTTTAAAATAATAATTTATGTGCCTCATTCTCATTCATTTTTTTAATCTAAAAAATTGGATGTAAAGTTTAGCCGTGCCTTTATCAGATAGACACTCATTAAGCATTTCTTTCTTTTGTTTTTTCTTTATGGATTATTAATGAGTTTTTGAATGTCAGTTAAAGTGGCTGGAAATTATTTTTGAATTTCTCGTCATGCAGTAGCTCACTCTCATTCAACGACCACATAATTAAAACAGCATCATCTTGTATGTCTGCCCTAGGGCAAATTAGCCGAGTTAAACATATATTTAACAAAAACATACTTGTTACAATAATTAATTCTCTCGTGTTTAGTAAGTTGTATTACTGCTCGTCCGTCTGGTCGAACACTTCTGCCAGCAATATACGCAAACTACAAGGAGTACAGAATTTCGCTGCTCGCATAGTTTCTGGGACAAGGAAGTTTGATCACGTATCTCCAGCCCTGAAAGACCTGAGATGGATACCAGTTAAGTCCCACCTGTATCTAAGAGACGCCATCTTATCCTTTAAATCTATGACAAGTCAGGTACCAAATTACCTCAGTTCAAATTTTATCTCCAGAGGGAATATCAGTGGTCGGACGACCAGATCATCTTCCCAGCTTAATATTCCGCTTTTTAAAACCAAGTCGCGACAGAGATCTTTTTATTACAGGACTGTAACATTGTGGAATGCGTTAAAACCCCATTTTAAATTAAGTGAATCTCTTATCATTTTTAAACGTAAAATGAAAGCCTTCCTTTTAAATCAATTTTTAATGTCATAAATTTATATGTAAATAGTTTCTTAATAGTTTGTTGATAATCAATTTGTGATACTTTTTTTTTTTTTTTTTTTATTACCTGTACTATTAATACTTGTCTCTGAAAAGCACCCATGGGGGGTTGACAATAAAATTTGTATTGTATTGATTGTATTTTTTTTAATTTCTGGTCTCTGGTGAAAGATTTACAAGAACCTCCACTACAGCTGTATTAACCTTCTTGTCTAAATTTATTATTGTAATAGTTTTAGACATTATGCATATTTTCCATCAAGGGGACTCCATTTTCAAATGGTACTTTACACTCTTACTAAAGTGAATTACCTGACACATACCTGTATGTCAAAAATGTCAATTAAATCTTGCTGATCCTCCTCGAAGACACTACTTCTAATAATTTCAGAAATGTCTTTCCAGTCATTGTAAACCTGAAATCAAAATGAATAAATTATACAAAAAGCCCAAATTACAATCTTAAATGAGGTTTTTTAAGTTAAGGGGAAACTGCCTATCTCAGTTTTTTTTATAAGAGCATGCAGTGACCTTCCCTTGTGACCTGTGTTTTGTAACTGCCACTTGTTAAAGTTAAGAATTTTGTTCCTAAGCAAAATCAGCTTGACTAGTTTTAACTTAACGTGTCTGGATTTTGCCCCATATCTTATTTCTCATAAAACTGTCCAATGTGTCTTCCAATTGAGTAAAAAAAGACCTGATTATTTGATTACCTTTAAAAATAATTGGTAGAACACCTCTGCTGCATAATCAGATAGCTGAGAAAGATAAGCATTGTCCACCTTCTGCCTTTTCTTTCCCCGTTTCCCTTTAGCAACCGACCAACCAACACACTTCTCTGACAGCTCCACATATCTTTCCTCGATTTCACGTAGCCTGCCCTCCTGCCAGAATTTCAGTCTTCTTTGAACTTCTTTTCCAGTTTCTAAGGAAAACAGGTTAGGTAGTCACATCACGAAGTGTAAGGGGTATTCTTTTTAAGGTCAGGACTATTATGCAAGAACACAAACCACTGCTGGGTGTGCTTTACATGCTAAGGAACATTCACTCAGTTGGGATGTAGTAATCTGATGCAATAATGATGTACCCTGGATACACAATGGTCACGTCATGGGGTTGTATTAATACTAACAGTGCTAGCTAGCCTATCACAACTTCCAGTGTCGATGGATGTAAATACAGTCATTAATTCAAACTGTCTGGTTTATCACAGTCAAAGGGAAGGAAAGCTTTTAAATAACAGTATAATGACTGTCACATGTACCTGAACCTGTGAGGGTAATAGTCTCCTGCTCTGAACCAAAGTCTCTGGTGAATGTCTCTGAAATAGCCATGTCCTGATAGTACTAAAACAAATTACTAAAAATTCATTGAATATTTTCAACAGAAACCATTTTTTTCAGTGTATGTTTGTACATACTACACAAAAAATATTATTGTGTGTTGCACTGGTTTAAGTGAAACATTCAAATCATGTGATATCCTGAGCCATACCTTGGTTCTAACATTACAAAATGTGACTTTATTGGGTGTTACTAAAATGAAGACCCAAAAACAAAGACCTAAGACCTAAGACCCCATGGACTAAAACGAAGACCCCATGGACTAAAACGAAGACCCCTTGGACTAAAACGAAGACCCCCTGGACTAAGACGAAGACCCCTTGGACTAATATAAAATGAAAAATGACTGATTCTAACTGCTGAGGGCAATGCCCGCTCTTGTAATTTGTTACTGCGATTTGGTAATGTTGTGGAATTTCCTCTGCAGTATTTAGTTGTGATAATCAAGTCTATCGCTTACCTTTCCTTCAGGTTGTGCTTTTCAAAAGCAGTTTCTTGGCCCTCCTTCATCTTCACTGTTATTCTGCTGCTAAAATTCTCAGGGCCATAATTTGCCAATTCGGCATCACATTCATCAAGTGAACCCACTTTGTACAAAAAAAAACCAACAATGACAACAGCTGTTCAGTATTTCTAAGTTCACAGTGAAGGGCGCAGAGATTAATAGACGATAAATCCTCTTCAAAAAGGAACTCTAAGTCATCACGGATGCCTTTGAAACTAGAAAAAAGAAGATTCATTATTTTGTTAGTTGTAGGGGATATCTCCCCTGAAGACTGGTATTTAACAGTTTTATAGATTTCAAACTCAAGTATTTTACTCGACAGGTTTTCAGTCTTTTATGACAGTGCCCCTACAATATTGACACACCTACAGTAAATTAAGGAAGACTGTGATATATTATTATGGGAAAATAATATGTGCTCTAGGAAAACAAGACAAGGATAATTGCCAACATTTTATATAGACAGGGGCATTAAACACCATGTTTGTCCAGTGGAACTTCCCCTTTTACAAAAGGCAAGGCTTAATTTACAAAATGTTATTGCTAAAATAAGGTCTATATAAAAAGTTAGTCTTTTATAGACAACATACTTTAATTAAGCTATAAATGCTGGGATGAAGAGATCAACTCACTATACCAGGGAATTTAATTTTTTAAATAGAGGTTAACTGTATTGAGATAACCTTGTTTTGAATGCCTTTTATAATTAGAAGTTACTGTGGATTCAAAATGACAACTACAAAATAATGCTGAAATTCATGAATAATCACGGGCTACGATGCCTCAACAAGTAAATTACCCTCCAATATAATTGGCCTTGGACATGCTAAAGTGTTCCAAACAAACTGTACGCAGACCAAGATTGCAATTACATTTCTAATAAAGCAACAATAAAAAATAGCTATTATTCACCAGCCCTGTAGCTAGTTTTTACTAACAAATTTTACCCAGCAAAACTGAAAATCTATTTAGTACTGGCATGTATTGGTAAGTTGGTCATTGGTAAGGTCAAATCCTGCATAGTATAATTTTTTGACTCAGAGATTTTGAATATATACAAATACCCTCAATGCTTTGCAGATAAAGCAACACTCTACTTCAGTTCCTCGTTTCCCAAGCTGAAAGTTCGCTTTCCCTATTTGTTCCAGCAAAAGATTGAGGGCCTTCAGGTCATGTATAACTGTAGATATAAATTTTTAAAAACAGGTCAATGTACATGCAGGTATTTGGATTGAAAATTATGGTACTAAAAAATACCTTATTAATTATTATGTGAAACTTACCTTTAAATCTCACAGCATAATGCACTCCATCCACTGTGATTCCATTCTTCTTTAGTGCATCCTTTTGTTTGTTAACATTAACAATCAGCTTTTTTAGGTTTTTTTCCTAATAATAATCAAAAGTAAAGTTACCAGTAAACTGAAGTTATTACTAAAATGAAAAAAAAAAAAAGGAAAATGAAATACCATACTGCTAGTCTAGTCTGTGGCAGATAGTTCTTAAGACTTGAAAACATATAAAGGTCGGGTTTGAGTGGCCCACTAATAAATTAAGACCTTTGCGGTAAATTAATTTTCAAAAATGATAGTTTACTGGGGCCTTTAGGCCTCATAATTATGATAAATTTGTTGTAAATCCACAAATTATTTCAGCTTGCATGTATATATGTTATATACCGGTAACTGGTCGACAACCAAAAATTACACAGTCAAAAATTTGGTACAATAAAAATTTTCACTAACAAAACTAGTTATTTTGGAAACAAATAACTATTTGACTAATGAATCAAATTTAAATACAACATACCTGTCTTCCTTACAATTAGCAATATCTAAAGGGCACACTGATTTGCAGCTCTGATTACACACGAATGGTGTGTCTTTGGGGACTACACCCATTAGGACCTGACTGTGCCCTACTGATGATAGGAAACAAAAAAAAAAGCATTTCAAAAATTTAAGCACCACTTCATGAGCTAGAGTTCAAAGTGTTTGGTTATGTTTACCCTGCCACTTTATTGTTACCCCCCCCCAACTTAATACAGACACCTGTATTTAACGGATTTGTCGCAACAAAAAGCACATGTATTTTCTCTAAAATTTACTCCCTAATACAGACAACAATAATATGGACAACAAGTTTTAAACTCCCATATATTATATACCCTGCTTTACATTATTAATTTTTATCTCTGCACTGTCTATGACTGAATATCTTTCAAGTGAAAATTATGGATACGGAACAGTAAATGTTTAAGAATACTGACGAAAAAGACTATTTCAGTCCAAGACTACACCCATAATAAAAGATCACAGGGTTTTGTTAGGATGAACTTGTTTCAGTCACAGTTAAGAAATAATTTGGACACTATTGTATGTCCCTTCGTGTCAAAATTTTTAACCCACTTTCACTGTTGATTTTGTTTCTATGTTTTTCTTTCTTAAGTGCAACACAGTTGTTGCAAAATACAATAAAGAAATCTGGAAATAAGTTACACTGTATTTAGTAAAGATTGCGTTCTCACCTGCAAATGGCCTACCATCAAGCTTGAGGCTTAGGTCAAATATTTCTTTCTGCACACCATGTAATCTCAACTCCCTGATAATCCATGTTATGGCACTTTCAAGAGAAACTTCTTAACCAGGAAAATCTCGTATTTGGGTGATGTTAAAGAGGCTTCAAACTTTATCAAACACCACAGACCGAAGTGCCTTTACGATGCATTTGGAAAGCAAGATCGGAGTGTCTGATGAGTTCTAAAAGAAAAGAAAAAAAAGATCAAAGGTACTGACACAGTACCCCTGCCTCCCCCCACAGAAATAGCCAATTTTTCTTACACCCCTCAGAAATAATTTTTCCAAAGATCAAAGGTGCTGTCACAGTCAATCCCCTTCGACACGACTTTCACACCCCCTCCCCCCCCGCATTGAGCGCCTGACCGCAAGGCTCGTTCGTTACACTGGAAAAGGGGTCTCCTGGTGTGAGCAATAAAATCGCGCCTCTAGCTTATAATGAATAAGTCAACTCTTACAAGAGGTACAAGGGTGTCAAGCAAAAACTGCGATTTCTGCGATTCCTCCAAAAATTGTGAAAAATTGGAGAAATCGCAGTTTTTGCTAAGATTAATTAAGTCAAGTTGTACAGGAGGTAGAAGGGTGTCCAGCAAAAACTGCGACTTCTGCAATTTCTGCGATTTCTCCAAAAATTGCAAAAAATTGGAGAAATTGCAGTTTTTGCTAAAATTAATTAAGTCAGGTGTTACAGGAGGTAAAAGGGTGCCCAGCAAAAACTGGGATTTCTACAATTTTCGGGATTTCTCAAAAAAATTGTGAAACATAAGGAATAATTGCAATGATCCATGGTAGGCATTCTGTCTTTTTTGTTATCATCCAAGCACAAAGGTTGACAGGTTTTTGTCAGTGAGGTATTAGGGAAATACTTGTTACTGTATGATTCAACCTTGCATCCTCTATTCATTGTTGACTAATCCCATACGAATTCTAGTATCCATAAAAAATTTTGCTCTCAAAATCTGCTCTTTAGCATTGTAGACCATTATTTCCTTCTTCTCGGAGTTCACAGTAAGCTTTGCCTCTCTTTTTCCTTTACCAAGTTGCTTTCTAAACCCACCACAATCTTGGAACTGGTCGAAGAGATAAGATAATCTTCTCAGGTTTGAAAATGTTATAGTCACTGAACCTGGTGTATCTATCCCAAATCTTGTCAGACCAAGAATCTCCTTGTTCAAGAGATCAAAGACCTCATGAGGCATGGGAAGGTCAAAGCAAATCATCCACGGATGCACTATGCTCATTTTTGGACTAAGACGGTGAATAATTGCGGTCTTTGCGCGATCCATGCTTCGTTAAAGCATAGGACATAATCTCGCCGATCCTGTAGTAATTGGTGCGCTCGCGAAGCGCGCCAAAATTCCCTTTCACAACTGACTCAGCCAGCCTATTCAGTTCGTGGAATGTCTTACCTAAATCCTTTAGGGTATGTTCGTTCCAAATTCCCCGCTGAAATTTTCATTTCTCTCGCTTCAGTGCATCTTTTATGGAAATTTAGTTCGCCATCGGTAGCTGCACATTGATCCGCCATCTTGAATTTTGCAAAACTAAACTAAACCCGAGGTCGCGCTCGGCCAAAATGAAAGTTGATGAAAATCGACGCTGTTCAAAGGAGTTTTAACCGACGTAATAGCAATGCTGTCTTTTTCAGGGTACAAAAATAGCCTCATTTAGTCTTGTACCCCTAAGAAGGCAGCATTGCCGAAACGTCGGTTAAAACTCTTTTGAACTGCGTCGATTTTACAATTTTCAAATTAACATTAAGTAGAAAATGGACTAGGTACGTGAAAGTGTGCTGCTACAGCGGTGAGCAGTCCGTTAGTCGCCAAAAATCTTAATAAAATTGCAATGGTTGCTTCGTATTCAACAGCTTTGTTGGGATTTGTGGATGAAAGAACGTAGTATATTACATTTATGGTGTTGTTGTTTGGGTCCATGAGCATTAAAGAACATCGATTACATGTGGATTCGTCCGACATTGATTTTTCCCTTGTTGAACTTAAGAAAAAATAGCAAAGAGTGTTCAAGTCTAAATCCAAAAACCTGTTCAAACCCTCAGGCTGTAATTATTGACCAGTTCTCATTTTTATTACATTGTTAGTATTAATTGAAAAGTTTTTTTTTAAATTAAGTACTTTTTGGGCAATCAGATAGAGACCAGGAAAGAAGAAATTAAGGTGCTAGTAAGGTAAAGCAATCAGGTTTAACTATGACCATTTTTCGGTGTCTCAGTCAGAAATGATTCAAATTGATGGAACCCGCAACCGACCTAGCTATGTTCGCCGTCCATAGTCCCCAATGAAGTAAATTGGCAATGGACTAGGTATAAAAATGTTCTTAGTCTTCAGTCGGTGGCAGTCCCGAAGTCGCCGGATACGGTAAAATAAGAATGGCTGACTCGACTTAAGAAGGCTTAGCTGGGGTTGGTGGATAAAGAACGAAGTATATGACATGTATAGTGTTGTTGTTGGGGCATGAGCATTAAAGACCCGAGGTATATTAGTTTTGGATTTGTCAAGGAATAAGCGTCAAAGTGAAAGTGACAGTATATAGTGATCCACAACATTTTGCCGTGACGACTTTATACAAAATATATTCAAGATCGACGTAGCAATCGTCGATATTTATAAGATCGTGCAGAACGCTTGACCTATTTAAGTAATGACGGCAAAATAATCACAGCGAAAGGCATCTTTAATAAGCGGTGTTGTAGAGTGTTGTTTGTCATCGGTCGGATCAACTTAAACAAGTGCGGGCGAAGCAACCTCGGGCGAATCCACTTAAGGGCGAAACGACCACATAATTTAGATGTACTAGTGAAAATAATTGTTAAATTGAAGTGAATGATGCTGTATTCAAGATGTAAGTGAATAAATAACTTTGACCAGTTGAAAAATACGTTAATGATGTTGATCCCTTGTTCGAAAACTCCTAGTTTAAAGAAGGCATAAAATGATGAAACTTGAAATACAATGGAATCTCACGAATATCACTCGAACCTTTAGATAACAAACCTTTATTTAAAGATTGGCTGCGTTGGCTTTTACGTGTAGAAATGCTTTAATTGCGCTGACAGGGAAATGCCAAAATGGCAAGTAAAGCGGAAACTCTTGGACAAAAAAATGGGCAAACGGCTTTATTTTAGGTGATCATGAACACGAGAAAAGTGAACTGATTAACATGACAAAGAACTGCGAGAAATCGCAAGTGACAAAAAATCGTCAGACTTACGATTTTTCGCAATTTTCGCAAATTTTGTTAAATCGACAACTCGCTCTGAACTTCAGTGATTATTAACCTGACAAAGAACTGCGAAAAATCGCAACTAGCGCGAAAAATCGTCAGACTTGCGATTTTTCGCAACACACGAAAAATTGCAATTTTTGCTGCTGCACGCAAACCTGGACATAAGTGACAGAAAATGCAGAAAACTTATGATGCCTTGCTATCTTCAGATGGCAGCAATAAAGCTCCCGTCCCAAGAAAACTGTTTTCTTCAAATGCAGTGACCATTTTTTGATTTCATCTAATAAAAGTCGAGTTACTTCCTAAATAGTTTATTGCAAGGGAGTAAAACCCTTGAACCTTCCTAGCAAATAAGAGATACTATAACATATGATCCCCGCAAAAATCAAGATGGGTCATTGAGAAACTCTTTAAAAAAAACAGGGATATATCTTACTTCGGCCTCTCTTCCCTGTACACAGCTTGTAGGATGCAATTTAATTTGCGGTTAAAAGATACTTCCGGACCTAATAACAGCTTGTTAAAATTAATTAGTAATGGATGACTAGAGGCAGGTCGTGTATGCAAGTGCAATCGTTCCCATTTTTTTTGTTGTACTAAAATAAGAAGTGTCCTATTTTAACCAGACGAAAAAAGGGCAACACATAGACGTATGAAGGTGCGAGTTGGATTGCATCTTCTTGGCCTAGTCAATTCTAAGCGTACTGTGACGTTAGGTTTTTAGGGTGTTCTTCGCCTTTAACTGTCATAAAATGCGCGGCGTTGCGCCGGACAAATAGAAGGATAATCGACGGGACGATTCGGAATAACTGAAGGACGAAATGGGACTAAAGCTCGGTAGAACACTTCGCTGGACTGCGCGGCCAACGTCACAAACAATGCCAGAGGTACAGGGTCGTTACTAACATGTCCGTAGAACAAAGCAGAAATGACTTCAACAGGATTGGAACTCTTCAAGTGTGTTTGATCTTCTCACGTAGCTAACTCGTAGACAACTCAAGTAATTCAGCATGGTTCTGTGTCTTAAAGGGAGGTAATTCAGTTCTGTTGGTTCGAGGTAATTCAAATTGTACAGTTTGCAA